AAATGCTTTAAGAAATAAAGTTTGAGTGAAAAATAATAGTTTGTTGAAACAAGAGGGCCATGATGGCCCTGAGATCGCTCACCTGTATATAGGCCCCCCCCCCCAAATGTTGCAGGGCCAATTTAACCCAGGGGCTTTTATTTGAACAAACTTGGTAGACACCCATAAGAAAATGTTTCATGCTAAACATCTAAGCTCTAGCTCATTGGGCTTTTTAAAAGAAGATTTTTTTAAAGTTATTACTATACATATCTAGTTAAAAACAATGACACCCCTGGGGCTGGGCCAGTTTTGACCCCAGGGCTTTTATTTGAACAAACTTTGTAGACACTTACTAGAAGATGTTTCATGCTTAATATCTAAACTCTAGCTATTTGGGTTTTTTCAAAGAAGATTTTAAGTTTTTGCTATACACATATAAAGAAAATCAATGACCCCCGGGGCGGGGCCAATTTGACCCCAGGTCACTAAAAGATGTTTCATGCTTAATATCTTAACTCTAGCTATTTGGGTTTTTTCAAAGAAGATTTTTTAAGTATTTGCTATACACATAAAAGGAAAATCAATGACCCCCGGGGCGGTGCCAATTTTGACCCCAGGACTTTTATTTGAACAAACTTGGTAGACACCTATTAGAACATGTTTGATGCTAAATATCTTAGCCATAGCTCTATGAGTTCTTTATAAGAAGATTTTTAAGTTTTTTACTATATGCATATAGGGAAAATCAATGACCCCCAGTACGGGGCCAATTTTGACCCCAGGGCTTTTATTTGAACAAATTGGTAGACACTTATTAAAACATGTTTCATGTGAAATATCTAAGCTCTAGCTCTTTGGGTTTTTAGAAGAAGATTTTTTAAGTTTTTGCTATATGCATATAGGGAAAATCAATGACCCCCTGGGGCGGGGCCAATTTTGACCCCAGGGCTTTTATTTGAACAATCTTGGTAGACACTCATTAGAAGATGTTTCATGCTTAATATCTTAGCTCTAGCTCTTTGGGTACTTTAAAAGAAGATTTTTTTAAGTTTTTACTATATATACCCCAGGGCTTTTATTTGAACAAACTTGGTAGACACCTATTAGAACATGTTTAATGCTCAATATCTTAGCCATAGCTCTTTGAGTTCTTTAAAAGAAGATTTTTTAAGTTTTTACTTTATGCATATAGGGAACATCAATGACCTCCCGTGGCGGGGCCAATTTTGACCCAAGGGCTTTTATTTGAACAAACTTGGTTAAAACCTATTAGAACATGTTTGATGCTCAATATCTTAGCCATAGCTCTTCGAGTTCTTTAAAAGAAATTTTTTTAGGTTTTTACTATATGCATTTAGGGAAAATCAATGACCCCCCCCCCTGGGCGGGGTCAATTTTGACCCCAGGGCTTTTATTTGAACAAACTTGGTAGACACCCATCAGAACATGTATAACGCTAAATATCTTAGCTCTAGCTCTTTGGGCTTTTGAAAAGAAGATTTTTAAGTTTTTACTATATGCATATAGGGAAAATCAATGACCCCCGGGGCGGGCCAATTTTGTCCCCAGGGCTTTTATTTGAACAAACTTGGTAGACACCTATTAAAACATGTTTGATGCTCAATATCTTAGCCATAACTCTTTGAGTTCTTTAAAAGAAGAGTTTTCTAGTTTTTACTATATGCATATAGGGAAAATCAATGACCCCCCCCCCCCGGGACGGGGCCAATTTTGACCCCAGGGCTTTTATTTTTTTATTTGAACAAACTTTGTAGAGACTCACTAGAAGATGTTTCATGCCAAATATCTAAGCTCTAGCTCTTATGGTTTTTTAAAAGAAGATATTTTAAGTTTTTTCTTTCGGTTGCCATGGCAACCAGAGTTCTGCATGGAATTAAATTCTTTGAACAATTTTTAAAGGTGACCACCAAAGGAACATTCCTGTGAAGTTTGGATGAAATTGGCTCAGTGGTTTATGAGGAGATGTCATTTAAAGTAAAAGTTTACGGACGGACGACGGACGGAAGGACGGACGGACGGACGAAAAACGATCACAAAAGCTCACCCTGTCACTTTGTGACAGGTGAGCTAAAAAGTCTAAGTTCAAGGGGGATTCTAGAAATAGTCAAGCAAAAGTATTGAACCTTCTCCCAAATGATTAAAGTGATAATAAGACACATATATATGTAGTTTAAAATAGATACATTAACAAGAGGGCCATGATGGCCATGAGGTCGCTCACCTGTATATAGGCCACTGGAGCAGGGCCAGTTTAAACCCAGGGCTTTTATTTGAACAAACTTGGAAGACACCTATTAGAAGATGTTTCATGATGTTAAGTTTTTACTACACACATATAATGAAAAACAATGACCTTCCCACCCCCCACCCCTGGCAGGGCCAATTTTAATCCAAAGGCTTTTATTTGAACAAACTTGGTAGACACCCATCAGATGTTTCATGCTGAACATCTAAGCTCTAGCTCATTGGGTTTTTTAAAAGAACATTTTTTTAAGTTTTTACTATACACATATAGTTAAAAACAATGACACCCTGGGGCGGGACCAATTTTGACCCCAGGGCTTTTATTTGAACAATCTTGGTAGACACTCATTAGAAGATGTTTCATGCTTAATATCTTAGCTCTAGCTCATTGGGTTCTTTAAAAGAAGATTTTTTTAAGTTTTTACTATATGCATATAGGGAAAATCAATGACCCCCTGGGGCGGGGCCAATTTTGACCCCAGGGCTTTTATTTGAACAAACTTAGTAGACACCCATTAGAAGATGTTTCATGCTAAATATCTAAGCTCTAGCTCTTTGGGTTCTTTAAAAGAAATTTTTATAAGTTTTTACTATATGCATATAGGGAAAATCAATGACCCCCTGGGGCGGGGCTAATTTTGACCCCAGGGCTTTTATTTGAACAAACTTGGTAGACACCGATTAGAAGATGTTTCATGCTAAATATCTTAGCTCTACTTTTTTGGGTTCTTTAAAAGAAATTTTTTTTAAGTTTTTACTATATGCATATAGGGAAAATCAATGACCCCCTGGGGCGGGGCTAATTTTGACCCCAGGGCTTTTATTTGAACAATCTTGGTAGACATCCATTAGAAGATGTTTCATGTGAAATATCTAAGCTCTAGCTCTTTGGGTTTTTAGAAGAAGATTTTTTAAGTTTTTGCTATATGCATATAGGGAAAATCAATGACCCCCTGGGGCGGGCCCAATTTTGACCCCAGGGCTTTTATTTGAACAAACTTGGTAGACACCTATTAGAACATGTTTAATGCTCAATATCTTAGCCATAGCTCTTTGAGTTCTTTAAAAGAAGATTTTTTTAAGTTTTTACAATATGCATATAGGGAAAATCAATGACCCCCTGGGGCGGGGCCAATTTTGACCCCAGGGATTTTATTTGAACAATCTTGGTAGACACTCACTAGAAGATGTTTCATGCCAAATATCTAAGCTCTAGCTCTTTGGGTTTTCTAGAAGAAGATGTTTAAAGTTTTTTCTTTTGGTTGCCATGGCAACCAGAGTTCTACATGGAATGGAATTCTTTGAACAACTTTGTTAAGGCTTCACACAAGGAACATCCCTGTGAAGTTTCATTATGATCTGCTGCATGGTTTCAGAGGAGATGTCGTTTGAAAAGTGTGAACAGACAATGTACGACGGATGACGTACGACGGACGAAGAGTGATCCTAATTCTAGCATATGCTCAGGGTGAGCTAAAAAATAAAGAAGTTAAAACTAGAAATGTGTCCATAGGACACATGTGCACACTTCACTGTTTTGTCAATATTATAACTCTAGGTCAAATATTTTTTGGGCTACACATGTCACCAGTTGAAAACTAAAATTCTTTTACCAAGTGAAGGGCAAAAACTATACAAATACTTAATAAATTCACAAGCAAACCCCAAGGTGCATACACATGCCTGACCATTACTCTTGTAAACTTTCAGGCTTACAAGTCAAATACTTTTTGAGCTATGCATGAACAAGTTGAAAATTGCAAATTTATACTAAGTCAAGGGCAATAACTCTAACAAAACTGAAAAAAAGTCCACATGCAAAGTACCAGGTGCATAGTTTCACAGTGACGTTTATCATTATTCCTGTAAAGTTGCTTGATTTGAACTCAAGCACTCAAGGAACAAGTAACACAACATATGAAATGGTTTATACTAAGTCAAGGGCAATAACTCTATAAATACTGGACAAATCTACAAGCAAAACCCAAAATGCACTACTGCACATGCTGACCAACATTCTTGTTAAGTTTCATGACCCTAGGTTAAATACATTTTTAGCTACATACGACAAAAATTGGAAAATTTTCACTAAGTCAAGGGCAATAACTCTGAAAAAAACTTTTAATTCACAAGCTAAACCCCAGGTGCACAACTTCACATGCTGATCAACATTCTTTTAAGTTTCATGACTCTAGGTCAAATACGTTTTGAGTTACATGCAAAACAAGTTGAAAATTATAAATTTTGACTAAGTCGATAGCAAATTCTCTAAAAATATCCAGAAGAAAATACCCAGGTGCACAACTACACATGCTGATCAATATTTCTGTTAAGTTTAATGACTCTGGGTCAAATACTTTTTGAGTTATGTGCGACATAAAAAGGGAATGATCAGACAGATGGACGACAGAATGATGGACAAGGGTAAATCTATATAGCCCCCTTCTAAAGTGGGGGGCACAAAATTCATTTTTTTTCATGAAGTTCACATCAACCTTTGTTTGAGCTCGGGACCTGATTTTTGTGTATCACTGTCATAATTTTCATTGTTTTCATAGTTGGCTTAAGGATCTTTTGCCTTCTCTCTAAAATCATCTGACACTTTTAGAAACTTCATTGAACGCCGCCTTTCCTTGTCGATCTTGTTCATCATATTTTATACGAGGAACAGATTTATATTTCTTTGGAAACAATATTTATTGTATAAATTATCAACTAATATATGCAAAAAATTTCATTTAGAAAAATATTACCTGTGTTTCTTCTTTTACCAGTCCCAGTATCATTTTACAGGCAGTTACAATCAACGTTATTCAGTTACCAGTTATACTCCACACCATTTACCTAGGGATACAAATTAAACAGTAAACATAAAATCTAACAATTGCTCGTTCACATAGGGCTACAGATAACATTTTGTGTATATTGGGTAATTACCCCTTATTTTGTAATCTATTGGGTTTTTTCTATTAATTTTCTTTGAGTTATTTCTGTATTTTTTACCCTACCTAACCAATTTGGGTTATAAAGTACAAGTTCATGCATTTTACCCAAAATTTTTGACCTTCATTGTAGACATTTGTAGGTTTTGTACGGTAATAAAAAAGCATGGGTGAAAGCTGGAAATTTTAAAAATCCTGAATTTAGCAGATTTTCTATAGTTTTACATAGGGAATAGAAGGCTTTCTGGAAACTGAAAATCCTGAACTTCAGGAATAATCCTGAAAACTTTCACCCATGAAAAAGCTACTTACTACTTTGCTTTATGGTTTATTGGCCTAGGAGATTTCCAAGTTGCCTTATATAATTTAAAGGTTAAAACAGTCTGAAACAGTATGATCTGCCTGATGTACGCGTTAATTAATAATTTTCGTCATTACGCACCAGTTCAAATGTAGTTTGTATAAATAAGAATTCATTTACTTTTTCTTACCCTTAGTTATTATTTCTATTGGGTTTTTAGACATTTTAATTGGGTAATAATGCAAATACGCATGTTATCTGCAGCCCTGTTCACAGATCAGGGATGTTCAGGTGGTTCTACTCAGTGTCCGCTTCTGTCTAAGATAATGTATAGAAGGCCAGGTTGGCTATAAGCAATGATTTTATGAGTATAGCATAGCCCTTCGGGTATTCCTGCAAAAACCATCGGGAATTCCTGCAAAACCCAGGTTTTTAAAAGGTAATATCGAGAATTACTGTAATAAAAATTTTCATTAAATATCTGACACAAACAAATGCAGATGCCTGTGAAATTTGGGCAAAATGTGTACAAAAACATTTTATACAGGTTATGATTTCTAGCCTGGGTTTTATCACCTGGACTTTCCCAGAATATCATTATTTGTTGAAAGGGTACCTTAAATCTCCTGTAACAATTATTTATGATGGACGGATCAAATGTCAATTAAATTTTCACCATCAAATGATTGTCAGAATTAAGAGGACCGCTCGACATATAACTGTAACGGTAATTTTAAATGAAAGTTATGATAACCTTTTTTGTCGACGAGTTAAATTTGATAAAATTGACAGCGTATTAAACTGAATTTATTACAAATGAAGTTAAATTAAAGATCGTTTCTTTCGTTATCTACTTTCATTTTCTTTACAACATAAGTGAATATGAATATAATGTCCGGCGCAAGCTTTTTAATAGTAAATCAGAAGGGAATAACTGTTAATCCACCTATGATATGATCCATGATATCACGGATTTATATTACAGGGATCGGACACTCCCAGTTAACCCTATATAAATGCTTAAATATCTTGTCGTGCACCCGATAAGGTACATCGATCGATAATTTACCGGCGCTAAGCGTAAATGCCCGTTCGCAACGGATACCTACTTTACAAAATACCATATAACTTTTCCATTTATTATCCGATTTTAGAAATTTAAAGTTTATTTTGAAGAAAAATACTTGTTTAATTCGAATATCTAATTTATTTTTCAAAGGTGCAGTTTATCTGTCCGCAACGACGATTAAAAAATTAACTTGACGAAATCCGCGGTAAATTTACATTTTTTATATTTGAAATTTATCATTATGGTAACATAAATTCAATTTCAAAATAAAAAAGAAGCCGATGTAAGTTATTCACAGATGATCAATATTTAAGATTGATTGGGTTATGTAGTCAAATTTATTAACGCACAATTGTTTTACGGGTTATGAATTGCGGGCTTTACAATTCGCTCAACGCGTGAAGAAAATTTATTCATTTTTTAGTACAAAATATTGCCGAGATTTTAATATTGCCATATTCATAGAATATTTAAATTTCATTCATCATTTATATCATTATTATTTTTTGTAAATCTGTTTTCAAAAGTCGGTGCAGTGAAGTAGACAATCATCGTAACCGTTTTAAAAGTACTCTCGTGTGGCTGTCTCGATTCCGGCTTTTTTAATGTCACTCATATATTTTAATTATTCTTTTTTTTTGAATGCCTGTAGAAAGGTATTTCTGATATTTTTTAATGTAATGCTAGAAAAATAATAAAAATTGTTACAGTTTGAGTCAGTTTTATGCGTAATAAAAGTAAGTTTTGATTATTTTTTACACGTTGCTTAAATTTCTTTGAAGTTTAATTACTTTTGAAGGGGGTTAATTACCAGGTAACAAGTGATAATTGAAAAAACTTTATTTTCAAACTTTAATTACCATGTTACATTATGATAATTGCAACACTCAATCTTCAAAAACAAATAGAATTTGAATGTATATTTTGTATGTGCTACAATCCATGATATGTGTGATAAGAAAATGATTCTGAAGAGGATATATATAAATACAATGTAAATCTATTTTCTTTATTAACATTTATAAATGAAATAGAAAATATACAACTAAATCCTTGAAAAATAATGAAAGTAAACATATGACAAATAAATCATTTGACGTGAATTGTAAAGGATAACTATGAAAAAAATCTGTTTCAAAATAAAAAAATATATTATAAAACAGCTGTTCTGTATGCCAATAAAAGTTTCTTCCTTGCCAATCTAATGAATTCATCTATATATGCACGCTTGTTTAGAATGATCTGAAAAATATATTTAATACACTAATTAGTAGAATATTTACTATATTTATAGTAATATACAGGTAATCAAATAAAAAATGTACAAATCATTTGAAAATAATTCACAGAAATAAAGACAAATTTCAAACATGAATTTCTTTAAAAGTTTTTAAGCAATTAAGAAAGTTAACATTTTTTGCAATGCACCCATTAAACCATGTAAAAAAGAATTATCTTAGTCTGAATCTGGGTAATAATTTGTGCTTGAAGTAAAAGGGCGTCAAAGTGTAGAGTATGCCTAAACAATAGGCAAATATTTTTGAATAAGGTACTTTTTTAACTAAGCCTTATATCGTTCTGTCAGCATATATTGATGTATTAATACTTTAGCGACACAAAATAATACTGTATCAATACATTCATATGTGTATAATTTTTCACAAAGCTGCAATAACACCACATACTCTGGTGAAAATCTGTCATATTTCGCACTCTGCGAGTTCCGCCGTCCACCTTTATCCGATGTGCGATTCCGCGCATGCGCGCGACGAGACTTTAAGCTAAACGAAAGTGTCCGATCCTTGTAATATAAATCCGTGATGATATGAATCAACTATGGCTTTTTTTATCTTCATTTAATGCAATGGTTGCATTACATTATACTCATTCTTATTACTTGTTTCAAACTACTTTTAAATTAAAATTGAATATTCTGTTGTAACACAAATCCAATTCATTTAATAAGATATGTACAGTGAGACAACATAATTGCGATACAACAAACATCGATAAATGAATCTCCTCACTTCTCCCTAAAGTCTCCCCACTTCTCCCTAAAGCAGCTGGAGGGAGAAGTGACTTCTCCCTAAATTTTGAACCTAGCTTGAGCCCTGAGAAAGGATAATACTCTCAGTCTCTGAGTCTGAAGAGGACTATTTTGATTGAAGTAGGTCAACTGAGGGTAACTAATCCATTATGTCTATTACCGATCTGAATTTTATAAATAAATAGAAAAAGTATTTCATTATAATTAATTTTCACCAGTTTTCAACTTTTCCGTCGATAGCCTTATAGCTCTGTATTTCTCTGCATTGCTGCCGCATCGACCATTTAATTTTCAATATGGCGCCTGTCCTGAATTTCGATGGTCTCCGTGAGGAAAATCCGTCACGCATGCGCACTTGAAATGTATATACCAAAAAAGGTTTGCCGGCTAGAGACCATCTCCCCACTGCTTAAGTGAAAACAAACATGGCTGACAAAAATAAAAAATATTTCACCCAACTGTCCAAGTATATGTTCCGTTTCCCTATGGCTACCATAAGCCTTATGATTAAAATGTGACTATAGCAATAAGCAGATTTTTCAAATATTAAATTTGATCATTATAAATCTTTAAATACCTGTTTTCCACTCGATTATCTGTTAACCTTTTTTCTTTTTACAACTTTTCGATTACAAATGGTGGAATTTAGCAAAGGGACATAACCCGGATGATATAACTATTCGCCCCGCTAATAATTCGCCCTAGTTTATTTTTTCATTCACTGGGATTGAAATCCACACAATTTGGGCTTATTTGCATAATATTGGTTGGCCTTTTTATCAATAACATTAATTGTGTAATTTGGAGATACTGGGAGCAAGTGATATATTGGTTTAACCAGGAACGTGCATATCATGTAGCCCGGGGAGTACTTAAGTTTATCAGAAAATATTTAAATATAAAAATCATGCATGAATTAGATTTTTATTCTTCTTGATAAGTGATCCTTTTCCAAGACTGTCGGTCAAAAATTTACTTCTTAAGATACAATTTAAATGCCATTTTAAAACTATTTCCATTGTCTGCCAATTTGGGTAATTTCAGAGAAGCATACTATTATTGTATCACGGTAATTTCCAAAAATGGATCAAAGACAAAAATGGCCGGGTTGCCTTTCGATATAGATGGATACCGAAAATAAGCTATTTTAGCGAAAATATAAGATCGTGTCTACGAAAATAAGATTTATTTTTGAAATTGTGCATAAATCTTTTTAATAAATTATGTTAATTATATATTTTATGCATTGTTTGAATGATTTTACAGCAAATTGAATTGTCATAACCCCAAAAAAATATCTAAAAATGTGAAGTTTGAGTCGAAAAATAGCTGCCTACGAAAATAACTCAAATCGCCATGTGACGCGAAAATAAGATCGGGTCTACGAAAATAAGATTTATTTTTGGTATAATTTATCAAAACGTATTTTTTTTGTTATTAAATGAATTGCACGACTGAAATAATAAGGAATGAAATGCTTTAAAATGAAATATTAGAAGTGTACACGTGTTCGATTAATATAAATAGTATAGAAAGAACGCATGCAAAAATAACTCAAGGTGGCGACTACGAAAATAAGATATTTAAAAATGGTTCTTAAATTTTATAAAAATCGTATTTATTGCAAATATGATTGTAAGAATTTTATCTTCTGTTATAGGACAAGAAAAGTTTGTGGTAAATAAAAGTATCAAAATAAAAGCAAGAATTAAAGTTCTAGTGCGAAAATAACAAGAAACAACGATTACAAGAATAGGATCTAACGTATATAGAATATTTACGAAAAAAAATGTATGCAGTACTCTACGAAAATAACATCAGTAAGGAAACAAGTAGAGATTTTGATGCTAAAGCATCAAGTCGCCGGATAGAAATATGATTGTATTATCATAAATAAAAGAAAAAAAAATAAGTTTAATGGTTCGATTATAAAGAAAAGAGGAACAGTAAGTTGAGTACAGAAATGTTTATTCATAAACACGTTTTCATGTACTTGCCACAATTATATCTTTCTTGCTATAAACTTTGTAAAAGAGTTTTATGCAATAAATTTATGTTATGTTATATTCTAACAACGACCCGCATTTTTCCATATTGAACATAGAAGAACCGAAAGTGTGTGTTATTATGCAATAAAGTAACAGTTTCACGTTCTATATTTAGACATGTAACGTAATTATTATACGGATGCGTCGGATGCGTATATCATTATATCACTCGGGCTACGCCCTCGTGATAGAATTCCTCGCTTCCGAACTCAAAACAATGATGTTATTGAGCGATAAAATCACTGTTTGGGATATATTATAACTAACATTATTAATTTAACAGATAAATGCACTATTTCAAAAATAAATCTTTTTTCCGTAGCCGCAATCTTATTTTCGCGAAAATAGCTTATTTTCGATATCCATCTATATAATATCCAGCTGTAATCTTACGAAAAAAAATTACCACTGACCTTTAATGACTGTGGAAAATTTAAGTAAGTGAGTTAACAGGATGTAAATGCGCTACAGACCTGAAATCGAATCCCACTGTTTGGGACAACATGTCAGTGCTGTATGCCAAATATCAATTAGGAGGCTGTGATAAGAATTTGCTGAGAAAACTGTTACGAAAATTTTCTACTATATCGATCATTAATGTCGAAAATTTAACTAAGTCGGTAAATCGGAAGTGGATGAGCGACAGACCTGGAATCGAATCCCACTGTATGGGACAACATGTCAGTGCTGTATGCCAAATACCAAGAGGCTGTGATAAGTAGTTACTGAGAAAATTGTAACGCAAATTTCCAACCATTGACCATTAATGTCAAATTTAACTAAGTCATCAACAGTCCTGAAGTTTGGGACCACATGTCAATATGCTGTATAGGCTGTGATGAAAACTGTTACGAAAATTTTCTACTATCGACCATTAATGTCGAAAATTTAACTTATGAAATTTAAGTTATGACAATCTTCCACCAGCTAACTTGCTACAAAATTCAAGCTAATATGAACAGTAAATATTATAGAATAATTTATAATAACATATGTCTGTTGACTGTGTAAACACAATTAAAACTTTTAGGGGAAATGTTAGTAAAATATGAAGATTTTATAAAATATGTGATTTAGTGTCATATAGTTTTAAGAAAAGCATCATCAACATGTGCTGATTTCATATGCAGTCACGGAAAATGTTTACACTGTAATATTATATAACACAATCATGATATCATAGGAACTGAATATACCTTTGTTTATTAGAACTAATAATTTAATACTAGTCTCATCTGTATACTTTTATTTAACCAAAAAGTGAATTAGATTGATATTATAAATAAATGATTTTACTATTATTTCTACATACTTGTTTGTTTATTTTCCCCAGATAATGAGGTAAACATTGTTGACAATTAATGGTATTTTCTAGTAATTGTATATAGGCAGTGATTACAGACAGGGCGAACCTTGAGACAGGGCTGACTGTATGATTGGACAGGGTTTACTATATTTTGGGACATGGGGACTCTGACTCGAGACAAGGTGGACAGTTTTTAATGTAATAAAAAATTTAAATATTGATGTTTTTTTCTTTTAATGTTATAAAGATATACATACATTGTATATATTAATACAGTTTATAATTAAGCAAAACAAATTTTAATAATCTATTGCATTCTTCAAACTGGTAAGTTATATAAAACCAGCTTGACAGCTTCAAATGCATTTATTGTCTTATTATGTCACCAGCAAAAACATAAGTCTCCCTCATCATTACAATGATCACTCCTGTGAATTTTAGTCAAAATTCCACCAGCAGTTTGACTTTTGAAAGCTGGACAAGATTTTTCTATTTATAGCCCTGATAGCCATTTTGTGTAGCAAAGTAGAACAATGCCAGCAATATGCAAAACTAGGCATGGTACTCAGATCACTCCTGTGAAGTTTCATTGGAATCCAGCCAGCAGTTAGATCTGTGAAAGCTGGACAAACTGAATGCATTCAGACAGATGACTAAGGCAAAAGCAATATGTCTTCCAAAAATTTTGGGAGATATAATTATGTAATGTCTCTTAAGGTCGTTTTCGGGAGTTTTCATATAGACATATAGGGACAATTAAAACTGTTCAATAGAATTTCTTTAAACTTGGCATGTTGTTAGAATATGACAACAGAAACATTTTAAACGGGAAAAAAATTGGGTCACCGTTCTCATTTTCGAAGTATCTGTCCTTGAATTGGACTTTTTCGTTAAATTCAAGGGCAGATAATTTAAAATGAAGGAAAACAATACACATTTTTTTTTCTTATTTTCATGAAGCTTACCTTCGTTTTAGTCGATATGCAAAATTTCAAGAACGAATTTAGAGTGGATGGGTATTTTTCACTTCTTCTTTTAACATGTGCATTTTTTAGAAAAAAATGGCGGATTTTTTAAGAAATTTAAGTACCTTAACAGAGCTCCAGATAATTTTTTGGCCATGGGGTTTTTACCCCTCAAAATTTAGAGTGAGGGGTAAAATGCAAATTCTGAAAAACTTAAGGGGTAAAATCTGTCAAAAAAGTATTTTGCATTTTTTATAAACAAATTAAACTTATTGTTGTGTTTGTTTGTTTGTTTATTTTCTTTTTTAAGAAAAACCTTTACAAATTAAATACTGATTTAATGTGAAACAATACAAAACATGCCATGTAAAGTCAGACTTCCAGAGTATACTGGAACCCAAGTTTAGGATACACAGCAAAATTATCAGGGCTTCCATTTTCAAAATTTGGAAGTCAAAGACTTCAAAATCTCTGATATTGGAAGTCACATTATATAGGTAAAGAAGGAAAGTATTGATTTTTTGAAGTCACAGGCCAATTGAAGGAGTAAAAGACTCCCAAACTTCCACTAGTGGAAGCCCTCAAGTTATTTTATTTTCTAGGAGTCAATATTTTTCTTTCTTTATTTTTGTTGGCATGTACCTTATCATGTACTCCAGTTTGAACAATTATAGTTGAAATTAGAATTAAAGAAACATAAACAAGATATTTTTATCTTTCCTTAAAAAAATTATTGGTCTGAGAGAAAATTGTCCGTAAATGTAGACTGGGTACGAAAATATTGAGTACAAAACTGCAGGTGAATAACATGTTATTTTGTTCCAACAACTAAAGTTAAAGAAATTTTATTAAAATATATTTTTTTTATATTGAGTATGTCAATAGATGCCTAAACAAACTTAATACTGTGTTAACTCCTACGATGATTATCTGGCACAAATTTCATCAATAATTTCACAGGTTGATAGATCTACGGGAGTTACCTCCCTTCTGTATTTCCTGCTACTTTCGTTTTAACATGCGTTGTTGACAACAGAATTTTTAGTTTTCAATGCAAATAAATGGAAATATATTGTATTTTATGCTCAAAACATTTTCTTTCTACATATCAAATGTTTACACTTCTACTCTTTTACGCATAAATTTTGACATACGAGCGTATTTTCATTTTGTTGTGCGTAACTGTGACGCACGAATTTTGAAAGTGATGCGTATT